CCGTCGATAGTCCGTGCGCAATAAGGCTCCAGGGTTCTGTTAGAGTTCGGAAGGGCAGCAACACCAAAAGGTGTTTGTTCATTATATCCGTATATGCGCCAACCAACTAGTCCCACTTCACAAAAGGATGAAATCTATTCACCGAACTCATTCGGTTGAGCCGCAGTTGTGATATTATAGTACTCGCAAGTGATTTTAACGCACTGGTTGGAAAACTCATCGCATCCGAAACCTGTCTAGGAGGGCATTGCGCTCTTCCCGTCCAGCGAATAGAAAACGGTGATCGACTACTTCAGTTCTTCTCGGGTCATCGGTTTTTTCTTATCTAGCACCAAATTTCTACACAGCTCTCCTCGAACGGTTACATTGTGTTCTGGTTCAACGGGAAAGTCGACCCAAAATTGACCACATAGCTGTAAGCTACCGTTGGCGTGGTACAGTACAGAACTGCAGATCCTATTGGACCACCTGCGTTGAGTCGGATCATGCACTGGTTCTGTTATGCTTCACTCTTCGACTCCTCGGTCATCGGCAGAAATCGCCTCTTCAGTAAGCTAATCATCGTCTACGCGACCCATCTTTCTGCGCACGCTATGAGGAGAAGCTGGGACAAGAGCTAAGAGAACCGCGACGTAGTGGAGTAGACCAACCGTGGAATCAAATTATATTTGCGATGCACTCAGCTGCAAGCTTTGCTTGTGGGACTGAGCCCGAAGTTCGCCAAAGGCATTGGATCTCTCAGGAATCAGTAATCTTGATGGATCAAAAGCGAAAGATCCCAATCTGCCAGGATCAGCATAATGACCGGTGTCGCCTGCGACGTCAACTCAGGATTAGGATCGCGAAAATTGGTGGGCTAAAAAGGCTTGTGAAATGGAGGTAGCTTCTGCATCAGGGAATAGTCAAAGACTTTTATCTGATACGCAACGCCGGAGGTCGTCGCATAACGATTAGTGAGACCATTTGCGATAAAAGTGGACAGAGTATCCACAGTAAAGAAGAACAACTTGATCTCTGGGTCGAGTATTTTAGTGAACAGTTCAATTGGCTCAGTGCTAATGCGGTCATTCCAGCTATTGCGGCGGAAACCCCATGTGTGGTAACATGTGACCCCCCATCAGAGTTGAAAGTACGAAGCTGTGTTCAATCATTCAAGAAAGGGAAAGCTGCGGGATCTGATGGGCTTCTCCCTATTCTTTTTTAAGTGAGCGGTGATTCTCTTGTCGGCTCGATTACTAGCTTACTTCGCAGCATTCGTCGTGGAGTGAATCGTTGATCGTCCTGATCTTCAAGAAGGGATCACGTAACGACTTCTCAAACCACCGCGGGATTAGTTTAGCTCCAATAATCACAAAAGTGTTGACTGCTGTGATACTTCGCCGCCTGAGACGCTTAAGTGAGATGAATATCCGCGAACAGCAAGCCGGATTCCGACCAGGTCGCGGTTGCATCGACCAAATCTTCACTCTGCCTTAATTCCTCTAATTGCGTCACACATCGGCGGCCAACAATCGCAGTGTTCCTTGACCTAAAAGGAGCCTTCGATTCAGTTGACCGTGAAGCTCTTATGTGGTCGCTGCTTCGCAGAGGAATGCCCCAGAAGTATGTAAACGTATTGCGGTCGCTGTACCTGCATGCTTCTGGCAGCGTAAGGATCTACGGTGGGTCAAGTAAATCGTTCGAAACCAGGAGTGATGTTCATCAAGGGTGCTTTATTTTGCCATTCTTGTTCAATTTCATGGTAGACGAAATACTGGAGAACGCACTAAGTGGTCTTCAAATGTTAGTATTGAATGGACAGCTTGAGAAAAGCTGTGCGATTTAGAGTACTCTGACGACATCGTTTACCTGTTCGAATGTATGGAGAATGCGCAAAGCGCTCTTGACAGACTTTAAAGTTCTTTAAATCCTTTCGGTATGCTGTTTGTACCTTCAGAGTGCAAAGTGATGCTACAAGACTGGTTGTCATCTACCTCGGCGCTGATTGCTTGATGGTCAAGAATTAACTGTAGTGGAATGTTTCACCTACTTAGGTAGCTGCGTTACAAATGACGGCAGCATAATCAATAAAGTGCCTATTCTCATTTCCAAGGTTCAAGCAGCTTACGCAGTACTGAAGCACCTTTGGTGCAGACGCGATGTTTCGTTGAAACTGAAACTTCGTGTATACTGCACCAGTGTGCGTTCACTTCTGCTCTATAGTTGAGAGACCCTAAATTTGCGCGTGGAAGGTATTCGTCGTCTAGAAGTGCTCGACTGTCGATGTTTACGTAGTTTGACACGGGTTGGATAGAGCGAGCGTGTAAGCAACTCGGAGGTAAGGTAAGGTAGTTGGTAATGATTCAATGGAGCATTCGTTGTCTAATCGAATTCAGATTAGTCGGATTCGCTGGTTAGGAGGCGTATTACGTATGCGCAGTCATCGTCTGACGCACCGCGCCTTATTTGCAGTTGCGGCTCCAGGTTGGAAGAAACCGCGTGGAGGTCAACAGATGACGTGGAAACGAGGCATGAAAAGATGCACAGAGCGATTAGGTAGAATCAGTGGCTCCCGTCTTGCAGGTTGGGGTCCGAAAGACTCTGCAACTAGCTGGTTGGAGACACTGAAGGATATGGTGACTAACCGGCAGCAGTGAAGTTCTCTTCGGTGTATCTCGCTGTACGATGATAATGATGATGTAGTTTCAGTTAGTCTTCCGGATGAGGGATCAAGCATTAGTGCAAGTTCATTCTGTGTACCTATTTATGCGACCAGAAAACACGAGTGAAAACAATAACTGTGATGAGGATTAACGATGCCGATGCTTTTTGAGTCCAGATTGGCACCGATTGGTCAGGATCGCCGGGGGATTAAAACCCTACCGTTACTTTCACGGTTGTTCATCTTCTATTCCTTAGCACAAGTAAAGTGATTTACTGTAATCGGGGAACACATGCATTGCAAGAAAGGAAGGGGACATATTCACCGTGGATTCAATGTATTGATTATCGTTTTGAAAAAGGGGAGTGTCGGTGAGAAGAAAAACGGACGAAAGCAGTGTGCTTGGACGGGGATGCTTCATAGTTCGGAGGTTCTGGCTTCTCTCAAAAGGTAAATCGGTTTGATTGATCAAAGGTGCTCGTAATTTAGAACATTTCTCGGGTTTTGTTCAAATTGATATTTGCGGCAGGTACGTGTACAATGAATCAAATATTGTAATAGTCGAGATCAGTTTAGATCTACAGATGGATCTTGATCATCATATGTTCTATCCCGTCGGTCAGGTTTTATTTCGTAATTGAATCTCACCACTTGGATCTATCTGGGTTGTGGCCACTGTCGCGAACACAACTAAAATAAAAACCTTAAAGGCCATTCGTTTGAGACGTATTCTACTATTTCGCAAAATCTTTATCCCTACCACCACTTAATATCCCATATCAGTTCGTCACCTCATAACCTATCTTCTTTTCTCCCCTTCCCAAACAACTTTTCAATAGGTACCCTTGAAGATGATGACGATGATGGTGATTTGAAATTCAAGTCGAAAAAGATCCTCTGGGTTCCTAAACCCTCACGAAACCACCACCCTGCCCGAGTTGGTCAAAGCGGATCATCCGGATCCACCTTGGGCTCGCCATCCCTAGATCAATTTCAAACACCACCTAGTCTGATTGATCTCTGTCTGGTCGTGGTCGAACGAAATCTATCTCGAGTAGATCATGTAGGTCAGGTCCCGTATGAGTTGTTTGGACGAGCTCTGAAACACGCCACTCCGGCCGAATTGGCTCACATTGAACAGTGCAATCCGGTACGTATTGCCCAAGATAAAATAAGGTGTTTG